GTGGGGGTGTGTCTATGGGGAGGGGGGAAGTGGGGAGGGCTGGGGGTAGGGGTAATGGGGTGAGGCAGTGGGGTGGCATCAAGTAGGTTCACTGGAAGTGTCTCGCTCACTAGTCAAAAGTGCAGCAGTAGCGTCCTTGCCTTTTCCAGTTGGTACCATTCCTCCAGGTTTGGCACGGAAGGAGCTCCTCCCTTCTCACCCTGTGGCAGTTTTTTCTCCCCTCCAGCCTTGGGCACAAAAGTGGCAGGTTCCTTGCCTCCCCTAGTTGAGTGGATAGTCCTTTTTGGCTTCCTGGGCAGCAAGGGTAGCCTCATATCTTTGCATTCTTTCAACCTCCTTTAGCACTTTGCAGTCAAAAGGGGTGTGGCCACAGGTTTTGCAATGATAATAAAACTTTGGATACTCCTCATACTCCACTTTTTGGAAAAAATGAAATTCATTGATGTGGCCATTGTACTTGATTTTGGCTTCTTGGTCAAGTCCACTTCAACACGAACATGAGTAACTTTCCCAAAGTTTTTGCTTGGTCAAGTCCCATAAGTAGTATTTGTGCTTATGTTCAAAATTATTCGTTCTGTTTATGTTTAAAATATTGCGCGTATTTTACTAGTTTTTGTATATTTAAAGTCACTTTTCATTGTTGATTTATTTTTACATATGTTCAAATGTTTGTGTTAATATCTATGATATGTTCAAAAGTTTTTGCTTTGAACATGTAATTTTTGTCTAATATAATGCTTTGTAGTGACGATGTAATCTGATTTTGTTAAAAACGTACAGAGGAGTGAATTAAGGCAATGCATGGCGAAGAACATAGTAGTTATAGGGGAGTAAGACCATGGAAAGTTGCACCTCGTACGAGTGCCTCCAGATTCACTCATATCTTCCTGAGCAACGATATGAGGTTTCCTTAGATGCTCAAAATTGGTATTCAAAAAATTTTCATATATTTATGTGTAGTTGTACAATGATTTTGAATACTCTTTTGTATAATTAAGATGCGTGTATTATAATGTAGGTTGGTGATGTCTAAGGGAGCCACAAGGATAATTGCAAAATCGTTCGAGAGAAAAGTCGGTCTTAATGGCTACAGGTGGGCAGCCGTGAGTGAGCGTTACAAAGAGTTTTATTGGAGAGAGTTCCATGTAAGTTTGAGTAATTTATAAAATCATTTTGTGGCATCCCTGATTTTGGTGTTTATAAAAGATTTTATTTCTTATAATGACATGTAGAAAAATTCAGAAAGGCTTAAAGGACAAGGAAACGCCAAGGTGCATGAGAGCATTATCGCTGGTTGGAAGCAGGTAAGTCATTAATATAATGATACATTAAATAAACATATATTATATATCATTGTTTATAATTGAAAAATACATTCAATGTAATGTATACAGATGTGGGATGAAGAAAAGTACTTGGCTCTCTGTTAAAAAAAGAAGGTGAATAGGCATGTAGGGGATATAAATGTTCTGGCACAACCCACACACACTGGGGTCGGTGCTCTTTTAGCGAGTCAATGGAGATTCTTGTAAGTCATTATATAAATGTACGTAATAAAAACATGTCACTCATTCGGTAAATAATCATTGTTTTTAAAATTAGAGTCAAAGCGTGGAAGAAGAAGAAGATTCAACCTTTGTCTCGTATACTTACACCCACACTAAGAAACATGACAAAAAGACGTGGGTCAATGAAAAGGCAGTGATAGTGGCAGTAAGTCATAAATTTTATAATCGTGTTAATATTTATGTGTAGCAATTTAGATGTACAAGTACTTATAAGTTTATGCTTAAAAATGTAGGAAAACTACAATAATTTGAGAGAAGAAGCTATTCGTGAGGGGATTCAAGTGGCGCCAGGAGAACTATTCTATGTCGCAGGTGATGGGCATGACTTAAAAAATCGGGTTTTTGGCACTGGTGCAGTTGCATGTAAAATACCAAAGAGTACTCAACAATAGAGCAGACGAGCCAGCACAAGCAACATCTCCGACATATAGAACAATGAAGTTGTTAACTTGCGCAAGGAATTGTTGGACTTCAAGGCAACGGTTGAAGAAAGAGACAAGAAAATAGTGGAGGAACTTTAACGTTTGCGCGGCCATCATGGTTATGGCCGTTTTGATGATGATGGTAGTGGTGCAGTTGATGCGACGGGTTTTGTAGCGTGAGCCTTACAAATTACAATACATTGGTTTAGTATGATTTAACATTGTGGAATTATTCAACAATATATATATTCATTTGATAATGTTTAGAAGTTTTGAGACATTAATATGTTTTTTATGAATTGAAGACTAATTTATTATTGTTATGAATAATTGCTTTATTTGTAATCTCCATTAGCTAAATTCCTGTGTGTTGTTGCTTGATGTTTTTCAAGTTTATGTGCATTTATAAGCTGGTTTTTGAGCTAAAATTGCTGCAGATTTTTCAGAATGTGGAACGTTTGCGACGGAATCTGCGACGGAATTATTCCGTCGCAGAGTTCATTGTATTATCCCAATTTTAAAACCGTTGTAGAATCCGTCGTAGAATCCGTCGCAGAAATTTTCCGTCGCAAATTTTAAAACCGTCGAATGTATCCGTCGTAGAATCCGTCGCAGAAATTTTCCGTCGCAAATTCACAAATTTCTTGTAGTGATTCATTTTTATGATAATTTTCTTTCCAATTCAATATAGTATTTTTTACTCTTTTCATTTATAAAAAAATATTTTAACTAATAAATAAGATAATTTTAAGATAATATTACTTCATAATTTAATAACTTTTTCTATATTCATTTATAATAGAACTTTTAATTACCTAAAAAGTAAATTAATAAATAAGTTGCATTTTTTATCTCTAAATCAATGTCATTTGAGTATTACATATTTACATTAGTTTTTATTCTAATTATTCAAATAAAAATTAAGTCTTGACTATAATATAGAAATATTGATGTAAACATTAAACACACACAATATATTTTAAAAATTACATTACAATATTTATAAAAGAAAATAAGACTATACTATAATTTTTTTATAATAGAACAAAATACTATATGAACTTTCAATAAAATTCTTTTACTCTCTTAATTTATAAAAAAATATTTAATTGATAAATAGGAGTATTTTTTAACATCTAAATAACTTTCATATGAGTATTTTTTATTATATGCTAAAATGAATTTAGTTTATATTCTATTTATTTTATTAATAAAGTAAAATTAAAAAACAAACAATACAATTTCAATAACTACGTTACAAAGAACTAAAATACAAAGAACTTCCAATTATAAAAAAAATCTCTTCACCCATAAATAAATTTTATACTTTGTGTTTCTTTGTGGTTATTTTAAATAAAGTTAGTTTAATTATATTTATATAAATAATATAACTTTACATTTTTTCAACTTTATTTATAATAAAACTATCAATGAATAAATAAGATTTCCTTCCCTAAAAAAGATACTTTCTTAACCTCTAAAAATTTATATTTTTATAGGACATTATTAAATGAAGTTAGTTTGTGTTTTATCTATTTTCAACATTAATGTTAAATAATCAAATATATATTATATCAAATAATTTAAGAAATGAATGTTTCCCCAAGCTTGAATGATTGTCTATTCAAATAATTTAAGAAATGAATGTTTCCCCAAG